CGGGGCGGTTTGCAATTTTTTGGGGGAGTTTGGGCAAAAAATCCCCTTTTCGGGCTTTTTTTTGATGGGGGCCCCCTCCCGGGCCCAAATTTGGGATTCCCTTCCCCGGGGTTTTTTGGGCCCCCCCAAAAGGGGGAATTCTTTTTTCCCCAATGGGGCCAAAAGGGGTTTTTTTTGGGGGAACTGGGGTTTTAAGAAAAACCTTTTATTTTTTTTTTTGGGGGGGGTTTCCCCCAAAAAGGCCAATTTTTTTTTTCCCCCTTTTAATTCGGGGCTTCCCCCCCCCATTTTTTTCCGGGGGGGGGCCCCCACCCGGGGCCCCCCGAAAAAAGTTTTTTTTTCCCCGGGGCCCCCCCCCCCCCCCCCCCCCCCCCCACACCAACCCTGCTGCTGCTAGTCATGGAAAAGTTGTTTCAATTTGCGATTTGTGACCCGATCGTTGGTGCGCGGCAGGATGCGAGGAGAAAAGAGGAAAAGCTGGGTCGAGTGTTCGCGGGCGAGGGGGACGTCATGGAGGAGTATGAGCGGGATAAGGTCGAGCAAGACGCCTTGCAGGTATGTATTTGTGTACACGTGGTCCTCCGGAGTAGGCTATGTAGTGGGAGCACAGCAATGTCATAAAGGGGTGACGCAAGATGGAAACGTAGGCAGGCGGCAGGACCAGGTCACAGCCACCTGCGGTATGACGGTTCCCAAGCCGACATAGCTGATGTTTTTGCCTCGGGACAGCCCGGCGAACCGTAACGAACCACAATAAAAAGTCACAAATCTGTAACAGTCTTGCGCTGTTCCTTGGAACGACACGTGAAATGTAGGCGTTGAAGCTACGAATAACATTGTGTTGTCCATTCGCTGTCGATGCAAGGCGGCTATTCCATCATGTTTAGGTGCCACACGGCGGTGCAGGTACGGCTCGCTACCCTGGGTCTGTTGCATCCAGGAGCTAAGGCCGTGGACTCGCTCTTGACCCGCATTCTAGCACCTTTGCGCTTCGCAAGGTTTGGCATGGAGTTTTTGTGGAGACTAGGCTAGCGCTGCCGTTCATGCACAACAAATACCGCAACCAACACGCTCTCCTTGCGTTTTGGATCGCCTTCGACCGCCAACACACACACACTTGGTTCTTGCCTTCGAAACGGGAGCAGCTGCTGCAAGACTCGATGAAAAAGAAGGAGCTCAAGCCCGTGGACCACAGCAAGATCAGCTACATCAGCCTCCGCAAGAACCTGTACATCATCCCGAAGGCTCTAGCCATGGCCTCCGAGGAGAAGGTAAGGACCGTTCACGCCTTCCTTGCGTGGAAAACCGGCCACGGTCGTGCGCGTATTTTTTCCGCATGTTGGGGGGGGGGGTACTCATGTTTTGCATGCCTTGGTTGTTAGACCGTTGGCCACGATAGGACAGAACATGTTGGGAGAGTGAACGCGTGCTTACCACACTGTACCGTCGCAGATGCGTAACTTCCCCTCCGTTGATTATCGTTTTGATCGGGGCGTTGCTTTTGGGGACTTGGACTGGATTTGATTTGGTATCGAGATGGCTGTCACTCGAGACTCGTTCTCTTGCGTCTCTTAGAGAGGATCCTGCACTGCTGCTGCTTTGGCTGCTGCTGCTGTTACATTCTATTTGCTAGCAATGCTCGTGTCTTTGCTTTGCTCTCGTCCATGGAGCCCCACTTTACCACCCGTACTTTGCAACGTGCCATGCTATGCACCACGCATTGTTCACCCGAATTCGCTACAGTAGTTTTTTTTTTTGGTTTCGTCACTCCGACACCACTATTATATGTATTTTTTTGTTGTACGGTTCGGAGAATGTCAATAAGAAAAGTGTCTCATGCTTCTCGCACCGTCATCCTACTGCTGCCTCTGCCGCTGTTTTAAACCGCCGCAGAAGGAGAACGACAGACTAGAGCTAGAGATCAAGGTTAGAGGGAAGGGCTGTCCGCCGGTGTTGCACTCGTGGGAGCAGTGCGGCTTCAGCGACAGGGTGCTGGCGGTCATCCGACGGAACAACTTCGAGGTGAGGTAACCTTGATACCACCACCTGCCATATTTGTTGTTTATGTTTCTGTGCATTGTTTTTTGTGTGTGCACTGGCCAGAACCAGAAGCGCCCAAAGGCCTGCTGCACGTTTCAGCGGTAAATGTTAACTGCTAGTCGGTGGCACGTGAAATTCAAGACCTCTTCTTCCCGTTTTGTCTCACTGTCTCTCCCCTCTCTTTCAAGCACAGCGCGACCCCTGTACATTAGGTACGAAAGAACGCTCACGTCATTCACCGCCTAATAACACCTACCACCCTTTTTCAATTTCTTCTCCGCGCCACCCCCCCCCCCCCACCCCCCCTAAAAACCGTTTCCGAACCAAAAACAAACGATGCCCGCGCTCATGTCCGGGCGCGACGTTATCGGCGTGGCGAGCACGGGGTCGGGGAAGACGCTGGCGTTCCTCCTCCCCCTGCTGCGGCACATCTTCGACCAGCCGGTGCTCGGCGAGGGGGAGGGTCCCATCGGTCTCATCATGGCTCCTGCCCGAGAGCTAGCCGTACAGATCTACAACGAGGCCCGGAAGTTCACCAAGGCCTTGGGCCTGAGGGTGACCGCGGTGTACGGCGGCGCCGGGGTGGCGGATCAGATCGCTGATCTTAAGCGTGGCGCCGAGATCGTGGTGTGCACCCCTGGCAGGATGATCGACATCCTGACGATGCAGGCCGGGAAGCTGGTGTCTCTCGACAGGGTGTCGTTCGTGGTGCTGGACGAGGCGGACCGGATGTTCGACATGGGGTTCGAGCCGCAGATCAAGATGATCCTGCAGAACGTGAGGCCGGACAGGCAGACGGCGCTGTTCTCGGCAACGTTCCCGAGAACGGTCGAGACTCTGGCGAAGAGGGTCCTGAAGATGCCGCTCGAGATCATCGTCGGCGGCAGGAGCATCGCCAGCTCCGACATCACCCAGCACGTGGAGATCAGGGACGACGACGACAAGTTCATGCGGCTGCTGCAGCTGCTGGGCGTGTGGTACGAGAAGGGGAACATCCTGGTGTTCGTCGACACGCAGTCCAAGTGCGACACCCTCTTCCAGGACCTCTCGCGGGCGGGGTACCACGGGCTGTCGCTCCACGGCGGTAAGGACCAGACGGACAGGGACTTCACAATCGCAGACTTCAAGAACAAGTCTGCAACGCTGATGGTGGCGACAAGCGTCGCCGGAAGGTGTGTGTGCTGGGGGGCGGTTGTCTCTCTCTGCGGGTTTGTGTGATAGGCGTTTTTGTCTCGCGGTGGCACGCGTCAGGATCGTCAGCAATTCATTTTTAGGCTGTTTCTGTACGAGGGCGTTTTTTCTCTCGGTATCACAGCGTCAGCAATTCATTGTCAGCAGTTGTGTACACGGGATGATCTGGAAAGAGGCGCAATGTGCTTGTTATTGAAGTGGGATCGGCGCCGTAGAGGGGGTGGTGCGGCAGCGCGTGTCCAAATTTCGCTTGAAGATTGCGCCTTGCTGTTTCTTGCAGATACTCTGTTTCCTGTATTTATAACCGGCAGCACAAACGCAAAGGGTATCTTTTTTGTGAGCCGCTACGGCACAGTTGCTTTTTCATTTCGCGTGGGTTCTCCTCCTGGTCGTGCCGTCGCATACGCCCTATGCATAACATAAGGTTTCTAACCCCACACCACTCGGCATCCTCCCCCCCCCCCGCCGCCGCCGTTTAATCCTTTGCGCGGTCTCCAGGGGTCTCGACGTTCCTGATCTGGTGTGCGTCATCAACTATTCGTGCCCCAACCACTTGGAGGACTACGTCCACCGTGTGGGGAGGACGGGGAGAGCCGGGCGTAAGGGCACGGCGTACACGTTCATCAGCGCGGAGGAGGAGAAGCACGCCCCCACGCTCATCAAGGCCCTCACGCAGTCCAAGCAGAAGGTGTGTACTGATAAAACCAATGGGCACTGCTGCTGCTGCTGCCATGGCTGGCTGGTTGTGTGGGGTGCAAGTAGAGGAGCGTGCGGGGTATGAAGTGCCTGATGGGGGTTGAAGGAAGGAGCGTGTAGTTGGGAGTATGGGAGTCCCTGGGCGTGTTCGGGCCTGTATGGGGTTTGAACTATCCGCTGCAGAATGTTATTTTTGTGTTGATGTCGGCAGGCAGGCAGGCAGGCTTCTTCCAGCGATCAACGTGGTCGATAGGGGTTGGTCTGGTGTTGCTCTGTTGGCTCCCTTTCCCGCATTGAAGAACCCTGTGTGTTGCTCGTTGTAAGAGAAAGCTACCCGTAATTGTGCGTGTTATCGCACCCCCGTGTTGGCGTTTTTTTGTAGCGTATTTCTCCACAACTAGGAGGGTGCGAACACCAACTGATAGCCCTCAACGAGATGTTTCCAAAACCACCCTTTTAGGAGGTGATACCTCCCTGGTTGTGGAGAAATACGCGATAGAAAAACGCTAACACGGGGGTGCGATAACACGCACATTTACGGTATCCTGCGGTCTCAAGCCAGGCACGAATAACGTGCGATAAGTTCACGTGTTGCGCCAGGTGTACGGACATTGTTCTTTAGCTGCCCTCGGAATTCGACTGTTTATCTAATTGTTTCTTCCATTCTGCTGCTGCTGCTGCCGCTGCTGCTGCATGGGTTCAGATACCGCCGGAGCTGGTGAAAATGGCCGAAGAATTCCAGGGCAAGGTGGACAGCGGGCAGGCTCGCAAAGCCAGCAGTGGTTTCTCCGGCAAGGGCTTCACCTTCGACGACTCAGAGCAGAGCGAATCGCAGCAGGTGATTGCAATGCTTGGTGTTTTGCCTTTTCGCCCTTTTGACTTTGGTAACTTACGGCTCACGCCACACTCGCCATTGCATACAGAGTCGTGTTGTTTCGATTGTGCCGTGGGTTGTCGGTTGGAGTCAGGTCTCGGGTTTAGGTCTGAAACCCTGACCCTGGAAACGCGAGGTTTTGTACCCGCGGTCCCAGGCGTGTATGGCAGTTTTTGACTAACGTGCGGTAGAGCTCGTAGTGGCGTTGTAGATTCGTGCGTACAGCTACACGTGGTACGTACGGTGGACCGAGGGATCTCAAACCTCCGCCTCCAAGCACGACACCAATCCAACAGCATTGTAACGATTATCTAGGTAATCTTCGTATTAGCAGTTTCGTCAAGTACCACGACTGCTTCTTCTCCATCCACCACGCTTAAGCCCCTTCGCACTCCCTCCCTCTCCTCCACGACACCGACGTCTGCCCTATAGCTGCTTGAAACCGCCCTCCCCTCCATCACCGATGACCCACCCTCTTGGTTCTTCCCCCCGCCCCAATGTTCCACCACTGATCCACCATGCACACACATGCATTTTTCACTGCTGTGTGCTGGTCCCTTCCCCCTAGATGCGATCTCTCGAGAAGCGGCAGTACGAGATTGAGCAAGGCCTGCGAGACCCATCGGAGCTCCTGGGCGGCAAGGAGAAGGGTGAGGAAGGGGACGAGGGGGACGAGGAGGAGAGCGAGGCGTCCAAGGCGGCAAGAGCCGAGAACCTGACCAAGGCAGCCATCACGGCGGCGAGCAAGCTCCTCAAGTCCACCGACGAGGTGGAGAGGATGAAGGTGCGTGTTATCTTCCGTGTAGCTTTAGTGTATCCTTTTTTTTTTCACTCTGTTCGTAGTGTAATCCGAAGCACAACTTTGGAATCGGGACAGAGCCTTAGACTTTGCCCTATGTCTTCACTACCGTTGCGTGCGGTATCTCTGTGATTGTGCCATTTGTTTTCTTTTACGCACCTTGTTACACTAAGCGCACGCAGAACCGGAAGGAGATCATCCTGTGCCCAACAACAATTTCACCACCTGTGCTGTGCACAACGCTTGGTGTTCGAGAGAATTTCTCCAGTCTGCACAGTCGCCTTGAACGGGAACCGGGCCTCGTCGTACAATTAGCAAAATGCCTCCCATATCTGGTTTTAAAGAAGAGGTTCGATTGTGGCCTCCTTCAACGGCAATGCGTAGCGTATAGAGCTAATCGCTACGCACTGCTGTTTTACGTTGGTTGCACGTCTGCGATAAATACCACCAGGGGGCGGCGATGATGACCGCGGCAAAGCTAGGCCTGGCAGTGCCAAGACCAGAGCCGGGCGGGGAGGGCAAAGACGGCAAGCCCAAGACCCCTCAGGAGGCTCTCAAGGAGGCAGCGGCGATCGCTTTGAGATATTTCAGCCCGGATGGAAAGGTCAGAAGGAGGAATGCGGGCAGAATCAATGACGAGGAGGTGTCAAGAGCACTACAGCAGAGGGACAAAAAGAAAAAAGCGGCGCACGTATCTGTTTTTTTCTCTGTCCAAAGAAAGAGGTAGCGGTACGGAAGTAGACCTGTATATGCACTGCTGAAGATGGGGACGGTAATAGTTAATATACCCAAACCCTTACCCTAACCCTCGGCCATTGCTGTGCTCTCCCGCCGTACAGGTATTGTTGAACATGCTTATTTTGACCCCAGCGCCTGTTCACTGTTTGTCGCCCTTTTCTCTCGGCGCTCCAACTGAACCGTCCCCCGCCTCTCACGCCTGCGCCCTTCCGTCCTTCATTCGCTCCGTGTTTGGTTCACCATGGTTATCTGACTGGTGCTGTCTGCAGGGGCCCGACTCGGAGCCAACCCACTTCACGGACAAGATCGTGATCAACGACTTCCCTCAGCAGGCTCGGTGGAAGATCACGCAGAAGAGCACAGTCAACGAGGTCTACGAAATGACGGGCGTCGCCATCATTACCAAGGGTAAGCAAGGAGTGCGTCGCAACATCTCACCCACGAGCGTAAGGGTGCGAGAGAACGCACGGTTGATATCGCATGTGCCGGTGATGTCGCACCCCCGTGCGTTTTCTCGCTTCTCTTATCCTTACGGTGTTATCATGAACAAGCACGACGATGCCAGTACAGCATCGTGCAGGCCCCGACATACGCACGTGCCTGTGTCTTGTTTGTCCACCGCGGTCTGTTGGATATTCTCGGGGGTGGGATGCCCTCGGGCCGTTGGGTTCGCTCTTTCACGCAACTCTTTTGGCCCTTTCATTTGAGCGACGGCATATGTCATAGTACTTTTCTGACCTGCTTTCCATTTGCCTCGTCGTTATTTTTGTGTTGACTGGAACTGGATTCGGTTTAACAGGCATGTACATCGGCAACAACCAAAAGCCCAAGGAAGGGGAGGAGAAGCTGCACCTGGTGATCGAGGGCAAGAGCGATATAGACGTACAGGCCGGCATCAGCGAGATTCGAAGGTACTGCACCCAGGTCTTCGGCTTACCCTTTCCTCTTTTGCTCATGGCCGTCCTTGTGTGTTTTGTTTTGTGTCGTTTTCCTTGTGCTGATGGTGTTGTGGCTGTTTTCTGCCGCGGCGTGCTGCGTTACTGACTCTTTCTGCCATACGGAATGGAATCAAATGCAGCCGCCTGTAACCCAACGTCCACCTTTTCTGGGCGACGAGCCGCGAGGTGGCTGTTGTCTCGAAATAATGTGGGTCAGCGACAGGTATCTGTCTGTTCGTCCTGTGTTGTTATATCTCAGAAACGAAATTCGCTAGTAGCTGACACGGCTCGATTCCAACGTGAGAGCACATCGGGCGTTTCAGCGCAAGAGCTGGCTTTGAACCCTCCCCGCCCCGCACTCCCGAATATCGCAGGATTTTGAACGAAGAGACGATGAAGGTGGCGTCTTCCTCATCGTTCTCATCTGGAAAATACTCGGTCATCTAGGCAGCGGCGGCGGAACCGGTGCTCTTCTTCGGTTGCCGTGGTCCCAGTCTCCACGCTCGAGACGGCGTGTGAATACGCGTGTGTTGAACTGCGAGGGCACGATTTTTCTCGCGCGTACGCGTCTCAGTCGGGGCTATATTGGGAAGGGGGTAGACACGGTGGTTGTCGCGCCTGCTGCTGCTGTGCTACTGGTGTCGTGGTCGTTGCGGTGCTTGGCGGCTATTCTTGTGCGGTGTGTGGTTGTTATTTGTACCGTAGAGGGGGAAGCGTTGTGTTGTTTAATCTGTGGGCGTTTCATCTTGGAAAATCATTCGCATTTAGGTTGTTATCGTAACTCGTATCAAGGTTTTGCGGTACCGCGTCGTGTAGGCATCAGCTTGGGTGGGCAGGATGGGCAGCTAGTACCTAGCCCTGTAGCTGCTGCGCTGTGCTGTTGAAGGCAAGCGTGGCTGTATGTGCGCTTGCTCGGATGGTTGTTGTGTGTTCTGATATTAACAAGTAGGCAGTGGATGCTTTCTCGACGAGCACGTGGAACGGAAGGCGGGCCCTCAAAGCTCATCTTGACGAGATGATCGAACTGTGGCCAATGCCTCATGCCAAATCTCGCCGATTTCGCAAAACAGCCCGCAGGACTGAAAGCAGTGATCTGAGCGACCGAGAGGCTGGAGCGAAGACAGAGAACGGCACTCCATCGCTTCTGCTCCGCACAACGCAAACGGTATGCAACGGATAAACAGAGGGTTATCTGTTTAGTGCCGCGCCGTCTGGCGAAATAGTGTTCTGGGATGCTGATCCGAGCAATCAGGGCGGGCTGATGTGTTCGGCTTCGCTTCTGTTCCCCTTGTATTGGGCCATGATCTTTCTGTTTTTATTGTAGCTGTACCCCGCGTCGTACAAAGTCAATTTTGTTACTTTCTTTCTGCCTTTGTCGAGCTCGACGAGAGGGTGCGTCCACAACCTCCGCCACTACGAAATTCCCGCAGGAGTCGTCTCTCTTGCTTGGGTGAGGAGGGAGTGGTGCCGGCTGGTGATGGTGCATGGGCCGGCAGGCAAGCACCCAGCAACTGCAGTGACGATGCAGTTTACGGTGAAGTCGTCGCTCGCTCGATGTTTATTCTCGTGCAATCCGCGCACCCACGTTTCGTTCGTCAGCCGCGTACATTGCCCCTGTCTTGCGTGTGACTGTGTGTGTGACGTTTCGGCGATGCATGCGTGTGTGCGGGGGTACCCGTTCTATCGCGCGAAAAGGGCGCAGAGAGAGAGACAGGCCAAGACAAGACGTCGCGACCGTACCGCGTTGTCAGCAGGTTAGTGTGCTGGCAGCGCTACCGTTCTTGTGTCGTCTTGCCTTGTGTGCTCTTCCCCTGGCCCCCCTCTCGTGTCTCGATCGCTTGCTGGCAGTTGTGCCAACGCACGGAGCCACCCTGAGAGGCACGAGAAACACTCGGCATCGAGGGGCCCAACCAAAGCGGTATGGACTTGGCACACGGTGCATTAGTTTTGAGGAATATCTCTTGTGCGTGATTGGTTGTCTGTGCATCGGAATCGGAGCTAGAACGCGGGTGCTTGCTGAAAACAGGGCAAGCATGGTTTCCTACGGCAGTCGAATTGTTGCGCTCAAAACAGAGCTCTCTCGCTAGCTTTGTCCCGCGCGTGCTGCCCGTAGACCCATCATCGGTATCGACGAGTCTGGTAGGGCATGGACGGCCCTTGCCAAGGGTCTTCCTTGCCGTCTACTACACCGCCAAGAACTGGAGCGTGCAAAGCCACAGCAGGCAGCTTTGCTTCGGGATGGATACCATGTAGCGAGCACCGCGAGGCAGCACCCACCACATTGAATGCAACTCGTGAGCATCCTGGAAGCACGGGGTCTCCGCCCGTCACCACGGGCATTCACGCGCGAAGCAAGTTCATCTGGCCGCTCGACCAGGCCAGGCCATCACCCCGATGCCATGGGATACGCGTGTCTGTGACTGGATAACGCGGAGTTCAAAACTCCTTGCTCCTCCACCGACTGACGCTGGAAAAACTCCGGGGGGTATTTCCCTGAGTTTCGTCAACCACCCGAAAAAGGTCTCTGGTACGCCTCGATTCACTCTTCTTTCGGGTATTCTGTGGTCACGCCCAACTCTTTTTCTTGTGTTACCCACCGCGAACCAAGCACACCCCGTCACCATAGGCACCTTGAAAATGGTCGCGTGCGTGACACATAAAACGCAACACGCATCCGTTCAGCTGCCGCCTGTCTAGTCAGGCACGCGCTACGCCCATCACATCGAATTCAACCAAAGCGTCAACCATGGACACCGTTCGTCCCTTCAGTTCACGACTACAGCATCGGGGATACAGTATCTCCATGACGCTATGTCTACACGAGCGTGCTCGCTTATCGCTTAAAGAAGCGGCCCACGATCTCGCTGCGGGGGGTTTCATGCCGCCACGTTTCGACGCTTACTTTCATGTTACTCGTCGTTGGTGTGACGTTCTTATGCGTCCTTGCTGATTCTTTTCGGAACACATCACCAATCATCTGTCTCTGATCCATTCACCGAAGAAATGTTATGTGTATAGCATGAAGCGCTGTAGGATGCAATGCACCAAGAATTATGACACGCATTTTTTCAGGGCGAGGAGCCCTTCAGTGTGACCACGGATTGATGGAAGCTTCCATGCATACCCGGCAGAAATGCTGTGAGCGCTGATCCACACTGATGAACCAAAACAAAAATAGCACGCAGGGATTGATTGATTGTGAGTCTTCATCTATTTGTTCTGTGCTCGCTATCACTGTTCAGATTGAGTGGATAGGCTAGGCACTGCGTGTCCGTCTTTCCTTGCGCCCCATCGTCGTTACGCACCGTCCCGCATCGTGCCAACGATCCAAAAGAAATCGATAATCTCTTTTAGAGGACTAGCACGATTGCCTCTTGAGGCAAGCTGTGTTGCCAATCGCTTCAAAAGCAGCCCATGATCTTGCTACCGGTCACCGTCGGGGTGTTGATCAGTTGACACTATCTCCTGCGACTGCTCAGGGACCGGGGTGCACCGACCGGAGGGAGATATCTGCGTAGCGGGAACGATGATGAGGTCTTGGGATCGGTAGTAATCCAACACCGGCGTGTCCGACTGCTCGTGCTCCACCGGTACCAGTGTCGGAGGTTCGTTGATGCCCTGGGCAATTGTAGTTCAGTAGATTCGAGAGCCATGAACAATGGTACGGAGAGGTTGTGGTGGTTAGTTTTTTTTGTGGTGTGAGTGAAGGTTTGAGACTTGGGAATCGGGAAAGACACACATCATGCGGTGCGATAGGGCGGTCTTTTTGCCTGACTGTTGACACCTACTTGCAATCTGCAACAATCCTGCCACATAGCATGTTTCCAGATGGCGGGGGGGGGGGGCGAAACGTGGACTCCACAGAAAAGGAATCAAGGGGGCAGTACGGATTTTGGTCCCACTGGGACTTCGGCATCCCACACATCTTCACGTACACCCCCCGTACGCAGTACTTAGTTGGCATGCATGTGGGGGCCAACTCCAGCGGGGGGTTTCGACTTTTGTCCCCAACATTCTCCACAAAAAAGCTGAAAGCAGCCAACCCCATTGTTGTATTTTTCTTGTCGGGAGGGGGTCGAGTCTCCGACTGACTGTAGGCTGTCCTATTTTGACGTTGCTGCTGGGAGGGATTTTGCACGCGCGCATTGGTTGATTTTGTGTGCGAACCTTCATGTTGTCTGTGCTCTCAACGTCAAATTGAGAGTTCTACTGTAGGCAATGGTTGTCCGTCTTGCTACCGCTTTCTTCACGGCGAAACCATCGTCGTCACGCACCGTCCTGCATCATGACGACGACGCAAAAGACAACAAGAACCTCTTAGAGGACTAGCACGGTTGCCTGAGAGGCAAGCTGCGTTTCCGATTTTAAGTCGTTGCTCCTGTTGGACATACGTGTGATGCTCCAGTTGTTTTCGTGGGTCGATCGAAAGCTCAACTTGATCGCGGTGTGTAAAGAATTATATCTTGGTGGGAAATGTTCGGGAGGTCAATTCTAGTCTATCTGTCCGTGAAACCCTCCTCTTGTTTGACCGATCGGGTCTCGGAAGCCAATTTTGGCCCACACCGCGAACCTCGGAGAACTACCAGCAGTTATGTGTAGATGAGACAATTTCAAGACCTCTCACTTTTGTTTGAGCAGCTATAGCTTGCTCGTGAAATGCTCCGTATAGACGTTCAGTCCCGATCCTGTGACACCTTTGATATCCGCCACCTGGCGAACGTATGTACCACTGGTTGGGTCGTTCTGACCGGCTATTGATTGAAACTCTAAAACTTCGCCTGTTGTGTGTACAGTGCGCCCATCACTTCGCACCTTGAAGTCATCATGCGGAAGGCAACCCCGCCGGGGGTCCCCATGTGCCCATATCAACCATTTCTATCTGTGCGGTTGCTATGCATGCATGTTTGGCTGTGAAGGGGGCAGTAAACCAGGTTTTTGGGTGAGCGAGAGAAAACCAACATCACTACTGTGTGCAAGCCAAAAGCACGACGCGACCAACACCCACCCACCTCCTTGAGTACCGCAAATCTGTACTTGTAGCGCAGGTCTTTCCCGTAGTTGTGCGGATTGGAAGAGTTGATCATCGTGAACAGGAGTTCTTGGAAAAGCGGAGTTCTTCGCATCATTCCACGGTCTTCAGTCAACTGCAGCGACCACAGCAAGCGGAGTGGCGCATCGATGAGCTCCATCTAGTGGTACAGCTTTTGCGTATCGCATGTGTGTATGCGGTGTACCAGTATGTAGCATGCTGGCATGCATGTACAGCTTGGACCGGGGAGGAAGTAGCGGTAACTCAGGAACATATGCGTCGCATGCACCTAGCACACAACGGCAAAATATCGAACGAAACGCTGCGGCGAACGATGTTTGTTTGGCTGTGAGAAGACATCGATAATTATTGGTTGTGCTTGACGCCAGATGGATAGACAGAGACGCGGCAGGATGCATGGCGTGACATTTACGAGGAAGCACGTCGCACGGTGGTACACGTTTGTTCAACACACGACGAAATACACACAGAGGATGGCTAATGAGTACTATTCACGATGAAGCCCTGTGAAACTCATGTCAACGAAAAATAGCGCCTTCTATGTCAGGACGCGTGCCTGTGTGTGCTTGAGAACTGCCTCCGTAGTCTTAAGGGACGGCAGAACACGAACTTGAATGTTGAAAAATTCTGAAAACAAGCGCAAGAGCACCAGAAGTGGCACACGAGGAGACACAAGACCATTCGAAAGGCATCGCGAAAAACAGAAATCGTTGATTCTCGCACAGGGCGGCAGTAGAGGCTTCTCAAAACATGCTTTTCATGCGTCTACCTCCACACACACGCCTCCTTTGAAATCAAGATAAAAATTCACACCGTTCATTCTAAATTCAAGTCAAAAGAGCCAAAACGGCAGGCGCTCAAAAAAGCTCTGTTACCAGGAACCTGGTGCATAGTACTTTTATCACTAGAGGACATCCTATAGCAGCGGGGGGTGCGTGTCCGCGCGCTCAAATCTGCTTCTGTGGTGGTGATGTCGAGCGTGGTTGTAGCGGGCTACAATCTCCGCAAATCTCCGCAAATTAGACCGACACCCAGTGTCTTCCACTGCTTGTGCTCGCCGCCACTTACCCCAATCTCCTCCACTGCGGGGTTACAGCTCGTAGTAGCTGGTGCCACTAGCTACTGCTGACAGTAGAAGAAACTGTCCGTGGCGGTGAGCACGGCTGTGATAAATTTTGAAAGTCGCTTGGTTCCGACGTAGACTTCGGACTGTTTTCAGAGGCTGCCTCGACCTTCGATATGTCAGCTCCAGTGGCAAACCTGAACGTGCGAGCACGTACGACGCCTCTTGATGGTGTCCTCTACTGATCTTAA